GTAATATTAATCATTTTTTTACAAAGAGTGCCTGTATCGTTAACAAATATTATTTGGAAAACAATTAATAATACTACACGAGATATTACTAATAGATAGATCATTAAACAGTACATTGTAAAAATATTTGTTTATCGAAAGTTATGAAATCTAGTCAAATATTACGTAAAGTTAAATACTATTTGATATGATCTAAAGTTCGTTATACCTTATTATGCTTTTATATAAGTCTACACACTGTTTCCAAAAATTTATATTTTGACAATGTATTTATTCCAGTAGTTCAACAGTATTCTGATAGTAACTCGAAAATCTCATATATATCATCTAAATTTTTAGACAATGGTGTAAAGAATATATTGTTTCAATTTCTGTAAAACGATTTAATCCTTCAGTATCGTAACTACAAATATCAATCGCTAGCCTTAACAAACTGTGCTTACGTTTGAAATTTTACAATAATATAGTTTACACGTTTGTACAATACTGCATGCGTATGAATATCGAAACAATACTCTTACGTAAATAGATATACAGGGTGTCCCGAAAATGTCTCGCAATCCGGAAATGGGAGATTCCCGAGGTCATTTGAAGCAACTTTCTCCTTTGCGAAAATGTTCTCCGAGACTTCGTTTACGAGTTATTAACGAAAAACACTGACCAATAAGAGGCAAGCTTGCCTGGCGCGCAGCGGCTCAGCCAACGAGTGCGCGGAGCCCGGTTCCGCTCATTGGCTCGGCCGTCTCGCACCAAACGATCTCGCCTCTGATTGGTCACTGTTTTTCGTTAATAACTCGTAAACAAAGCCGCGGATTGCATTTTCGCTAAAGAAAAAGTTGTTTCAAATGACCTCAGGAATCCCCTACTTTCGGATTGCGAGACATTTTTCGGACATTGTATACATTTCGAAATGTTATCATTAATAAGTGGCAAATACAAACGAGTTGATCCAACGACGATTATTACTGTTACATTGCTTCTATCATATTTCGACTATGAACAATAGCATAAACTTAGCCATAAGTAACACCGCAGTCGATCATATCATTTCATTCCTCACCAACTGACAATAGTCTTCTGTTGGAAATAAATTCAGGGTAAAAACTTTAGCACCCTGTACGCCCGTAGTAAAAGACCTGGTGTGTACCAAAAGACTGGCCAAATTGTTGCTCGACTCACACCGGTGCATGCTCGTGTGCTGTTAGCAAAAACAAAAACCCCATATATTAGCCGGCATTCCACGACCACACCGAACTGACTAGCTTTATGATTTTTTAGGTACAATGCGCTAGACCCACTCGCTCCGACTTTTCTGATAGTAAAACTCGAAGAAAATTACTTTCGGATACCGACCTCGTTGAGCATGTTCATGATGAAAGAGCCAGGACCGCCCGGCGAGGGGTCGAACGCTTCTTCTGTGACAAAGGGGGAGGGGGAGGCGGCGTCGGTGGCGGTGGCGGCAACGACAAGGCCGACGCAATCCTCGCAGTCCCCTGAATCGTCGGAGAAGGGCAAGGACAGCGGCGATCAGTCCGAGGACTTGGACGACACGCCGTTGGACTTCAGGAAAAAGCAGGAGGAGCAGAGGAAGAAAGCGTCGAGCGAGGAGCCGCCTAAGAAGAAGCACACCTGCGAGATCTGTTACGCCTCGTTCGACCGTAAGAGTAAACACACCAGGCACATGTACAAGCACAGCAACTCGAGGCCTCACAAGTGCGCCATCTGCACGAAAGGCTTCAAGACCAGCGCCCATCTGGCCCGGCACATGGAAATCCACGACGAGCCGGTCACGTGGCACACGTGCAGCCTCTGCGACTTCAAGGCGCGCACCAAGCCTTACCTGAAGATCCACTATATCCGCAAGCACACCGAGGACTACAATTACAAGTGCGAGCAGTGCGGCAAGATGTTCAAGGTGCAGTCGGACTATACGACTCACGTGAAGGACCACGACACGGAGTCCTGTGTCTGCGACATCTGCGGGTCCTCGTACCCGAGCAAAAGTTCTCTGTACTTTCACAAGTATTACAAGCACAAGACGAAGGTGAAGAAGTTCCAGTGCCAGACGTGCAAGAAGAAGTTCAAGACACAGAAGAACCTGGACAGCCACATGGAGCTGCACAAGATCAAGTATGTGTGTGAACAGTGCGGCATGGAGTCTAAGACTAAGTACGGTTTGACCAAGCACCTTAGGACCCATTCCGGGGAAAAGTCTTATCTGTGCGCGATCTGCGGGAAAACGTTCGGCTGCCTCAGCTCCCAGAAGATTCATCTGCTGACGCACGTCGGCGAACGACCGTACGTCTGCGACATCTGCGGACAGAGCTTTACACAGAGGTCGCCGATGATGTTGCATCGGAGGAAGCATCCCGGCGTGCACCCGGCCCCTCCGCCCATTAAGATTACCAATCTGCTTCACGGCGTGCAGGACAAGATCATTGTGAATAAGAGCAGCAAGTAACCGATGAGAACGACAGTGTACCGCGAGTTACTTTTGTATAGTCTTTTCAACGTGATACGGTTACCATCGTCAAGGAGCAAGGAGGCCCATTCGCTTCGATCAGGATTCCGCTGTTATGCTGGGTTCATTTGTGCGTCAAAAGTGTCACGATCTCTTAGTGTCGCACGGAAATGTTATATTTTTCGAACCAGTTTAGAGAACGCGTTCTATTGTTTTTCTTTTGTTGTGCACGCGCAGTCACGCGAGATCAAGGTACGTTGATTAGAGTGACACGTAAGTTTTTGTTTTTTCGATTACGAATACGATGAATAATGTTTGTAAACTTAGTTGACGTTTTTGATATTTTATGATGCAATTTTTTCTTTTTTTGTTTAAAAAGCTCTGTATCGAGTTTACGAGATCAGTTTTATTTGTTTTATTTTGCCGATTCACGAGCGTACATATTTCTGTTAGCAAATAAAGGCGACAGAGTTTATATAGAAATACAAGAAAGATTATTTTGTCGGAAACACAGTCGTTAATTTTTCATCGAATTGTTGTCCTGATTCGTAATCGAGCGAACTCTGAACGTTGCTAAAAGAAAGTTCTGCAAATTTTAATATTTGTAAATTCAGTATTCTCGAAATCTGATAACCGTGACATTTTGTAAGAGAAAAGAACGGGACAAGAGTCAATACCATGGTAATCTTCGATTTAGCACCGCTGACTTGTAAAGTAAATTTTTTGTAAATATGTATAATTTCCTTCAAAATTAGAGATTTCGCATGACGATCACTAAATAGCATATATGAAAATTTCCAACAATTGTGATGTAACAAAGTAACGTTTCATATTGTTTTCTTTTTAAGTCTTCCATTTAATTTACTTTACCGGTTTAATGACTATCGTTGAAAAATCAATTGTTCTCTCAAGGTCTCTAACTCATTGTAACGACCATGATTTATCTGGGACTCGCAATGAAAACAGCTTGAGCTTGAGCGAGTACAATTTATTTTGATTCTACTCTTCTGGAAACAAAATATTTTACGTTTGTTGCTTTTGTTTGCCTCTACCACAGCAAAAGCATGTTTGTTGAAGCATAATAATAGTGTTTTTCATTTAAGGATTCTACGAAAAGAGATCGGCAACAGATAGAATTAGAAAATTGTGATGTTTAAAGTGAATTGGTGATAGTTAAATATTATATTACGGTTCGATGGTACAGGAGAATCAATAATTCGAACATCGATCTGCGAAAGAATAGCTTTTACATATATTATATATATATATATAAATATACAAATATAAGAATAATATCGAAATGTAATATAAATATTCATATTCTTACGAAGAAAGTTTATATCACCTGTAAATTTGAAGAAAGAAATATATGTATACATATACAATATTGAAACGAACACTTTAGTTCTTGCGCACTATGTTGTTAAGATTGTAAAGAACAAGCATATTGTCGATCATGGGTAACCATAACTAATACTTTCTAATGTAGTATTCTCTTACTACCGCGACTACTAAGGAAAATACTAATTTAGGACACGGTACAGTTTCGTCGGTCATTTTCTCTCGCTAATTTTGCACAAAAGTATGCACGAACTAAACAAAATCTGGTTTTATTTCATGTAGTCGAAATGCAATTAATATTTTAAGAAACGTGAACAAAATTCTACGTCCATTACAAGAATGTACATTATAACATTCCGCATTGAAAGAAGACATTGTAAAATTTTATTTTTCATAAATGTTACATGGACACCGATCAACCATAGAATTGACGAACCTGTTGTCTTATTTTTAGGACGAGGGATGACGAACTGCAAACGGCACCAAGCGACGACAAATGTTACTTTTTGTCAGTGAACAGAATTCAAGTGAAACAGAAAATGATATGCGATCAATGTTGAAAGCGAATCTCCTGTTTCCAGACCTATAATGAAATGGAGGAACTAGATGAATCAAAATTGAATGCCAAATTTCGGCTCCGAAAAATTAGTAAATATTCTTCGGACGTTCTAAAGTAAAGGTGAACAGCGTTTTTCTTAAAAATATCACTGTTACGTGGTAAAAAAAATCCGGGAAGTTCACGCTCCGGGACTTGTTCAGTGCTTCGAACGCGGCTCGAGTCCGTCCTGACCTTCTGCCAAAGCCACGTGCTGCGGGCTCTCGGACTTCGCGCGCTCGCCTTTCATTGGTCACTGTTTTCCGTTAATAACTCATAAACAAAGCCGCGGATCGCGTTTTCGCAAAGGAAAAAGTTACTTAGAATGACTTCAGCTACCCCACATTTCCGTATTGCGAGACATTTTTGGGACACGCTGTAGAATTATGGTACTTCCGGTTCTTGAGGGCATTTCAAGCAACTTTTTCCTCAGCGTAAATGCAATCCGCGACTTTGTTTACAAGTTATTAACGGAAAACACTGACCAATGAGAGGCGAGCTCGGCTAACACGAGACGGCAGAACCATTAAATATAAACTAAAAGGAGCAACAATCACGTGAAGAGGAATGGGAAATGCATGTCATATAAATATCCTGTTTGCAAATANGTCAAATTTCAGTAAACAAAGCCGCGGATCGCGTTTTCGCAAAGGAAAAAGTTACTTAGAATGACTTCAGCTACCCCACATTTCCGTATTGCGAGACATTTTTGGGACACGCTGTAGAATTATGGTACTTCCGGTTCTTGAGGGCATTTCAAGCAACTTTTTCCTCAGCGTAAATGCAATCCGCGACTTTGTTTACAAGTTATTAACGGAAAACACTGACCAATGAGAGGCGAGCTCGGCTAACACGAGACGGCAGAACCATTAAATATAAACTAAAAGGAGCAACAATCACGTGAAGAGGAATGGGAAATGCATGTCATATAAATATCCTGTTTGCAAATAGCGCTTCTGTAAACAAATCCAGCTCTGCAAATTGATGCAGCATCGCTTGTGAAAGTTTAAGTGCGAAAAGTGTGACGTGGTGTTCCGACACGAAGGTTCCTTTACGAAAATCCGGAATCAGATAACGAAGACAGACGGCTGCCCTTTTCTTACCATCAACAAAGCAACGTAAATAACGTGTTGAAGATCATACCCATAATTTGCAACTGCTAACACCTTCGTTAATTATTTAGCCTTGAAAATGACAAAATCGAGCTTCTATTTTTCGGACGCACTATATTTAATTCCCGACATCTCGTTATGGTCCAATTTAAATTATTCAGCGTACGTTAGTTTCTCGAATATCAATTTATGACCGCAAACGTCTCGAAAATAATCCATTGAAAATTCGTGTTAATTTAGAGAACATTTTAATCAGTCGCACAATCGTTTGTTAATTTATGTCACATGTAACATGTTCTAAGACTCCCGCCCATATTAAATCCTGCCATAATTGTTTCAACAGTGTGAAATGAATTAGTGTGTAAGTGCGAAGTCCGAATTTGAAGCAACAAAGTGTTGACGTTTATTACATATTGTTTTGAAGAAAATTACATTATAAGAAGCGAAATAAAACATGTTTCATTACAATGGGAAATTCTAACTTTAAGATGTTACACAAAGTGCTGATTTTGTGAGATTAGTGTTTTCATCAGTTTTCACATTTCTTCGTCGCGGTGCCTCTAAATCCAATGTAAGTACTCTAAACTCGAAGTAGCACGATTTATCAGAATTATAATGTCAGGTTTGGGTTTTCCAGGTCGATGTTTTCGAAGGCGACACTTTTGTATCTTTTTGCGAATAGAGCAGTGAACATGTACGTACAGAGACCATAAATGACATCATCGTATTAGCTATTAAAACCGCATTAAAGCCGTTAGCTGCTTTATATCGTTAATAAACAAAAGCTTTTATCTTTCATTAACTCTAGCAGAGAAAAATTACATTACTCATTCGGATAGCATAAGAGAAATTAACACAGTAGTGGAAATATTTAAAATAACAAGAAAAACACATTTACCTTAATTTTCAATTAATCGTCTATTTTGAATAATTAGCGTTATTAGTCGTAAGTACTTGATTCGATAGTAAACGCATCAGCACAATCCGTTTCGTTTAGAACGTTCACGTATTATGATGTTTTCTTTTCGACAAAGAAGAAGAAACGGTTTTCGTTTGATGCCGATGGATTTTAAATATACTTCCGGTTGTTTAGGTTGCAGAGAGCGAAGCGAAAAGAGACGATACGAAGAGTTCTAGTCAGAACGTCGCTGTCAACTTCATTAACAAGACAATCGAAGAACGCTGCAAAGAGGTCGGAGAAGGCGAAGCTGAGACGTAAAGAAAAAAAACGATACGAAGAGACGTTGGAGCTCGAGAAAATCTACTGTGATATCTGCAAGACTACAGTCTTCGAACGAAATTATAAGAAACACCTTTTACGGCACAATTTCAAAGACTATCAGTGCGACACATGCTTGAAGAAGTATAAACATAAAAGAGCACTGTCGAAACATAAACTGACCATTCACGGAGATGCGCCCTTGCACAATTGTCAATATTGCGACTTCGTGACGGTCCACTTCTCTTACTTGCGGGTAAGTCCGTTTATTCTTGATGTTTTATATACATGTACAGTGATACTGTTAACATGAACAACGAAGGAAAGTTGCCAAAGTGGAATGAAACCGTTCAAAAGGGCCAATATGATAACACACATCAATAGTATATAATATAACTATAATAGTATATCTATGACAATATACATATATGTATCTATATAATATATTATAATCTCCATATAATATGACACTATACCAGGACGAATTCAGTGACCTAGGACACCATGACCTTGTAATCACTTTCATTGTCATTATATTGGTCCATTTGATTGGTTGCGTTACACTTTTGCAACTTTCCTTTATCTCAGGAAATTATCTAAGCAACTTTCCTCACGCTAAGGACCGATTGGTTAACAAGTTTTCGCACAACTTAGTTCATTTCAATTCAACTGCGTTACTGCTTGAGAAGATATTCTGCAAGTCCGACTTCGTGAGAAACAGTTTCTGAAATGCTAAGAAATTATTAGCGACACGCAGTATATTTTTAGAAATGTTTATCTTCCGAGAGAGATCTGTAACATTCCTGAAAAATTGTATACATACTGAAGCCGTTGGTAGTCGTTATCAATGTAAACTGATATTTTCTAGACAACAGTCTCATATTTATTTTTACAATTTCCATTACAGGTTCATGTAATGCGCAAGCACAATAACACGTTCCCATTCTCATGTCAAAAGTGCGACCGAAGATTTCGCATAAGAGCCGATTACATGAAGCATGTGGTGACACACGACGGCGAACCGTGCATCTGCGACGTGTGCGGCGCCAAAGTGCCAAACAAGATATCCCTCTACTTTCACAAGAATTACAATCACACTGTGAAAGACGCGAAGTTCCCATGCCCGATGTGCAAGAAGAAACTCCAGAGCCAGAAGAACTTGGACAGCCATATACAACAGCACGGCCGGAAGTTCATCTGTGAGGAATGCGGGCTCGGACTTACCCGTAAGTCCGGCCTGAGAAAGCATATAAGGACGCACTCGGGTGAGAAATCATTTTCGTGTCACATCTGTCAGAAAACCTTCGCCAGTGCTACGAGCAGGAAAGTTCATCTTTTGACGCATTCGGGCGTCAGACCCTACGTCTGCACGATTTGCGGACAAAGCTTCACCCAACGACCGGCTCTTTGCGTGCATTGGAAAAAGAAGCATCCCGATGCCACGGAATCGTTGCCCTCTGTGTCCATAACTAACATTATCCACAGTGTCACGAAAAACGTTAAAATGGACGACGCATGAATAGTTTTAAGTAAAGACTACCGATACGATAAATACTACTAAGTGGATAGAAAGTTGAAGTATGCTGCTTACGTTTGTGAAACGTTCTACGGTGTTTCTTAGTGATTTAAGTTTTTACGGAGATATATTATACTAAGGTGATCGTGCGAAAGTCATAATATCCACAATTTAACCTTGACAATGATTGTTGTAAATTAAGTTTTTGCGTTAAGTCTTTCACTATACCTTCTGCAACCAAAAGCTTTATCTAGTCAATTATATAAGTTCAATTTTGTTTCCTAGTTCATTTACGTGAACATGTGCGTAGGATATAAAGGGATTTGTTTTAACACTAAAACCAGTTGACGGGGCAAAATAGTCCTCTTTTGATTTTTTTCATTTTGAAATTATAAAAATGTTATTATCATAGCGACTTGTATCACTTAAGTTTGGTAGTTCTAACGTCAAATATATTTCTAGTATACCGAGGAGTATGTTTAATATTCTACGAATTTGGGAATGTTGTTTATGTTTGACTAATGCTGTTTGTACATATGTAATGATTAAGAAGAAAATTGTCTTTCAGTTGAAGCAAAATATTGTAATTATTGTAAGAATGTGCGGAGATTATTATTCAGTAAAAAAGACAATATTTATTGTCCAATATATTATAGGTTTATAAGGAATGTGAACCTATATTAATCATTTGCTATGTTTAAAACTATTCTTTCAAATTGTTTCTATAAAAATCTATTGATAAACATGGCCAAATATTTTTGTACATCACCAAAAGACATTCTCCTTTGGTATTTCTTAAGCAGTTTATTCAAAATTTTTAACCGGCTCTCAAATTTCACACGCAGCATAAGTTTTGTCGCATTTGTTAATATTATTATATTACATGCACAAACTGTGTCTATAATTCTCTCAGTAGGAGATACAGTTTTGCACGAAGCTTATTCTGCGACAGATTATTTTTTATGGACTATTATTATGGAATTGGAATATCATTGCCTCTACAGTTTCATAATTTTGTGCAATATTTTTGATCAATAAATACAATTGCGCAGAATAGATATGAATAATTGTAATTATTTTTTGGACGATTCAATCTATTTCAGTTTTTATTTCTTATTAATTTACATTAATTGCTTCTTAAAATATTAGCGTCGCTTGTCTCATTACAAACAGAATAATTTAGTTACTGTAAACAGTTATAAAATCAATTTTCATGCTATATGTACAGGTGCTACAAATTAAAGAAAAATTATTATACATTTTGTAACTCCTTGTAACATTTTGGTGCATTTGTCAATGTACTGACAAACAGGTACAACGGTACCTAGACCGACATAAATGAATTTATAATTTGCTAACACATTTCAATCATGTTTTAGGAAATCAGCGCAACACTTAACTCGGAGGAATAAACGCATCCTTGACGACCGAGTTAGTGAACTAAAAGCACCACGTAAAATTTCAAATATTCATCAAAGGAGGATGACATTTCGAGCTTCGAAAAGCCGTAAACGCGATAGTAGTAAATGTACAGCAGAGCCGAACGAGAAGGAAGCGATTATCAAAGAGAAGATTCGGAAAGTCTCCGTCGGTCGCAAGCCAATATTAAACACGAGGAACAGCAGAACGACGAAGAGCAACAGCTTGGACGATTTACAGAACAACGAAAGCCCCGATCAGCAGAAAGACCTTTACAAGAAGCTCCACGACGGCTCCTACACCTGCGATATCTGCCAAACGGTGTTCGAGCAGAAAAGCAAAATTCTTCGTCACATCACCAGCAAGCACAGCTTCCATCGGCCCTTCAAGTGTGCTACCTGCAACAAAACGTTCAAGTACAAGTGTGACTTGAAGGCCCACAGACTCGTTCACCAGGACGTGGACTCCAGCCTGCTGCATTGCTGCGACAAATGCGACTATCGAACCAAGACGAAGAACAACTTGAAATCCCACCACATCAGGCGACACACCGACGACTACAAGTTCGCCTGCGAGCATTGCGGCAAGCGTTTCAAGATGGAATGGGACTTGAAGTTCCACGTCGGCACGCACGGCACGTCGCAGCACATGTGCGACGTCTGCGGAAAATTTTACACCAGCAACTACTCTTTGTACAAACACCGGAAAGTGGCTCATTTGAACGAGTACAAGTTCCACTGCACTGTTTGCAATAAAAGACTTCTGACGCAGGAGAATCTGGACAATCATATGAAACAGCACAGTAGAACGTACGAGTGCAAGGAGTGCGGTAAAGTGTTCGCCTCGAAAAGGTACCTGGCCACTCATATGACCACTCATACCGGTGTCAAGCCGTACACCTGTCATATTTGTAAAAAGAACTTTCGCACTTCGCACATGAGGAACACGCATTTGCTCACGCATTCGGCGGAGAGGCCGCATATTTGCGATCTGTGCGGGCAATCCTTCAAAAGAAGGTATTACATGATCGAACACAGGAGGAAGCATCCCGATGCGTATTTGTCTTCACCCCCTGTACCCCTTGGGAAAAACAGAAGCGTCATTGAGACAGGAGTAGACGATGCAACAGAGTTCCATACGGATATTCCATAGGAACTACGTACAATTAGATTTTAAGTGCATATTGCATTGTACTTTGTTTTTCTTTCACGACCTCGAGACAATTTACAACGTCTAGGACTGTGCTTGTGTTAATTTATTGTTGGCTGTATAGTGATCGGGCTGCGCAGCTTTATGTGAATCCATGTTTTTGTAGGAAACTAGAAAATTAAGTTGGGTACTGTTTTCTTGTTCATAAGGCATTCCAATGAATCGAAGATAATGCGAAACAGTATTCGATTGTATGAAGTTCCGCAGTCTGGTAATAGTGATCTAACGTTGAAATCAGATATCGAAGAAGTTTTGTTAGCGAAGAGTAACTATCGCAGTTGCGCCTTTTCAGAATATTAGTGACACAGTTATTCTGAGAAATGTGTTATCGAAATGGCAACTTTTCCAAACGATATATTTTCTTGTATCGATACAGATGCCACAAATATATTTTATGAATACTCGTACAGTGAAGAGAACCGATACGTATGAAGATATATTTGCAGACGTATGATGTAGAATATAATAACACAGTATTTTACATTTAGAGAATGTGCGGAACACCATGTACTTAATTTCTTAATTGCGGATTAATGTTTCGTACGATGATATTATTATAAGTGATAGTTATTTATGTTTTTATTTAGATCATACTCTTTTTTCACAGTCGTTATTTCATTATAACGTCTTTCTTTCTTTACACGATTTGTACTTCTCTGAGTAGGAAAATCTGACTTTTGACCAATACGCGAGATAAAAAAGAAATAAAAGCCCTAACAAACTAAAGTGCAGTATACAAAAATACAGACATCCAACTCGATCTGTACACATGTAATTCAAATGTCTATAAAGACGTTTTAGACCTGGAGTAAGTAACCCATATGTACCCGGTCGTAATACTACGTTCTCCGAGATTAATTGCCCTTTCCTATGTTTTAGAGAGCGAGGCCGCGTCCAGGATCTAAGCACGGACACGTTCGGTCGGTTCTTCGCTGCGAACGGCTCGGCTTCGGTGCAACAAGGTCGCCACGACGAATCCACCGGCGTACCGCATTATTCGTTAACGTCCACGTCGCAAAGTGCAATTAAATCCGAAGAGATATTTTTGTCGAACTTAAAACTCGAGGGCAACGAGGACAGACACGGCAACGATCGGAAGTTCAATTTGGAGAAGAACCATTGCGCCGACTTTCACGCCTGCAATAAATGTCAGATGAAGTTCCCGATAGGAAGTATGTTGAATCGTCACAGAATGTCGCATAATCTGAACTCTTGGCTTCGCAAGAAGGGCCTGAGCGACAAGAAGCCGGCTGCTCGGCCGAAATCGAGGAAGGTAGAAAAACGAGCGGAGTGCAAACTTCACGTACAAAAAACGCACAAATTACCATCGTCCAAGGAGGACACGCCAGACACTAGCAATCTCATCGGCGGATTCGAGAGTAACAGTCGTCAACCGAATTTAAGGAAACGTACGACGACGCGCCGAAATACGGAAGCCGGGAGCTTCAAGTGCGATTGTTGTGACTTCGTGTGCAAGACGAGTAGAACGTTAGCTTCTCACGCGATGCGGAATCATCAGAAGGCTGAGCCGAAGGAGACCGACTCGAGGAGATCCAGGAAAGCGAAGTACGGCGAGGGATCCTTTGAGATGGAAAATGTGAAAGGTGCGTGTCTACAAAACTATAAAGAGGACGCTCAGAAGTCGATGGTCGTTCCCTGTGCACCCATGGAAGTCCTGTGCAAGGAGGAGCCTAGGGTGACCGTTCGCGCGGCGAAGAAGCAGGCGAAGAAACCTACCGAGGAACAGTGCAATCTCTGCGACTTCAAGTGCGCTAAGAAAAGCACGTTGTACTACCATAAGCGTCAGCACAAGGCGGAGGACCTTAACGAGATATTCTCCTGCAACGAGTGCAACTTCAAGACCACGAAAAAGTCGTCTTTGTATTCCCACATCAAACGGAAACACCGTGTGACGAAGCCTTGCACGCCGGACGGCCTGCCGGAGTTATTCTGTTGTAACCAGTGCGACTACAAGAACAAGAATAAGTATGAACTGAAGATACACGTTGCCAGGAAGCACACGGACGACTTCAAGTTCTCTTGCGAGACGTGCGGCAAGAAGTTCAAGGTGAAGGGCGACCTGACCAACCACATCCGGTTCAGTCACAAGGAACAACCGGTGATCTGCGACGTCTGCGGTAAGACGTGCCTGAACAGCAACTCGTTGTACGTTCATCAGAAGTTCGCCCATTACAAGGCCAAGTACGAGTGTCAGGTTTGCAAACGACGGATGGTCACGCAGGAGAATCTGAACGAACATATGATCAGGCAGCACGAGAAAAGGGAGAACGTTGTCTGCGAGGAGTGCGGGAAAACTTTCTCGAGGAACAGCCGACTGAAGGTCCACATGCGGATCCACACTGGTGACAAGCCGTACACTTGCACCATCTGCAGCAAATCGTTTGCCCGACGAACAGCTCTGAAACAACATTTGCTCATTCATACTGGGATCAGACCGTACGTCTGCGATATCTGTGGCAAGGCGTTCACCCAGAAGCCTGGACTGATCAGCCACAGAAAATCTCATCCTGGTTCGCATCCCCCACTGCCAAGAGTCCTGATCGACCACATACTGAACGATGTGATGAATAATTGAATTGCGAACGTAGTGGTGCGAATATATGAATCTCATCAGTGCTTCGATAAGAAATCGTAGGATGTGAAAGTGTTTATTGTTCGAAATCTAGACTGTGGAGGTTTCTTGGAATTCGTCCTGATTTGGAATTTTAGGCTTGAATCTTTCTCATTATCCCCTTCATGTTCTAGTCATTTAGAAAACTCAAGTTCATGAAGAACCGTGTGTCCGGTATAAATAGTTTACTCTTTTTTCTCTTGCGCAGCTCTCTCTTGATTGCGATCATTATTGGCCACCTAATAGTTTCTCTTACAAGACTGTTAGACTAGAATATAGAGTGTTCGAGGCAGTTTTCGAAAGATACGTGGTTCCTTTAGTTTATTTACTTTGTTCTACGTCACGTTTGTTAGAGTCTCATAAAGTATACAATTCTCATACCATTTAATTAATTAAGAGCGCAAGACTCCTTTACGCTGGAAGAATATCATCATTTCTAATTTTGTATTTCTACGATCAGAGGAGTACGAAGGTATAAAGAATTTGTAACGATTGCTTTGACGGTATCCTCTGTAATGTAAGATTTCGTGTAATTAACCGTTCTTCTTCATTAATACTTTTAGTAGCTAAGAAATTGTTTGTAACAAGTGTACTTGTAGCTATTACGTTTCGTTTATCTTAATTCGTTGATCGTACTTTTCTCTCAATTTGCTAAGTTGTGCCGATGTGCAATCATGTTCATACAAATACTGCATCCTCGCGAGAAGGATCGTTTATACGCAAACACTGTACAGTGTTTTCACGTCGATTGGCAGAGTTTGTATCTCATTCTAGACTAGATTAATAATTTTTGTTAAATTATTTGTAAAAGAAAAAAATATACTTTCCTCGTTTACATCGACGTTGTTAACGTTTCTACAAAATACAAAAGCATCTTGTCTGTCGAAAATTTGGAAAATGTGTTTACTGAATTGTTTCGTTTTGTATGTGACAGTTCGAGTGCATTTAACGTTGACTTGAGAGAGAGAGAAGTGTTCGAATTTGATTTTTCTATGCAATAGCTCGGTTACTAATTTTCAAGCTGATCACAGAAATAGTTTCTTTTTGCTAATAAACAATTATGTATCAATTTACTAATATCAATGTTCAAATGCTCCAAGGACGGTAGATAAAAAATGACAATCGTCGGAAATGATTGCAGAATTCATTGGTGTGACGTCTACATGGAAACAAATAATCGAAAGCTCTTCTTATTCTGCAGAAAAAAGTGTGCGTCTGTAGAACATGCGTCTACAGATCGTGTACATACGAAATGGGATCGCACCGAACAATCGCGATCGCCAAATAAAAACAAAACACCCGTTTTGCACCGAACCATTCGTGAAATACCTAACTGACTGTTCTGTGATTTTCAGGGCTCTAAACGAGGACGGACGATTTATATACGGCAAGGAATCGATACCGATGCAACCGTGGCAAATCGTCGACGTCGAAGGTTGCCTCTACTATGCCTTCCTTCCAGCGAACCAGCCGGCGAAGTTTCCGGAACAGGAGAAGCTGCTCGTCGCAAGATCGCCGAAGGAAACGTCGAAGAGCAACGCGGACGAATCCGAGGAGCCGTTCATGATCCCGGCGGAGGAGGATTTGCCACGGTACACGGAGGATCTCGACAAGGTGAAGATCAAGACCGAGGACACGGACGACGTGTCCTCCGTGAACGATGAACAGCACAACGACGACAATAAGGTGTACGCCTGCGAAGAGTGTAACATCTGCTTCCCGGTGGTGCAGATGTTGAAGCGTCATAGGAACGCGGTCCACGATCAGGCGCAACGGTACAAGTGCAAGGTCTGTTTTAAGATCTGCCGCAGCCTGGTGGCGTTCAAGATGCACGTGGCGCTGGAGCACAAGACGGAGGAGCAGGAGCTGAAGGACGAGAGCAGCCTGACCTACGCCTGCGACTTCTGCAGCTACGAAAGCACGAACAAGTCGACCCTTCATTCGCACATCAGCAGGAAACACTCTACCAAGCGAATCGGCCGAAGAAAGAACAGTTACCGATACGCGGCCGAGCCGGAGGAGTACTCCTGCGACGTTTGCGAGTTCAAGTGCCAGAACCGGCGCAGGCTGAAGGAGCATTTGGAACGGAAACACGCGTCCGAGTACAAGTACGACTGCGAGTACTGCGGCAAGAAGTTCAAGGTGAAGGGCGACATGAGGCTGCACGTCCGGTTCAAGCACAAAGAGGGCCCGATCGTCTGCGACGTCTGCGGCAAGACCTGCTCCAACAGCAACTCTCTCTACGTTCATCAAAAGTGGGCGCATTTCAAGCCGAAGTACGAGTGCGAGATCTGCAAGAGACGGATGGTCACGCAGGAGAATCTCGATCAGCACATACTTCTGCAGCACGAGAGACGGGAGAGCTTCGTCTGCGAAGAATGCGGGAAATCGTTCACCGAGAATCATCGGTTGAAGCAGCACATGATGACGCACACCGGGGACAGACCGTACGATTGCCACATCTGCGGCAAAGCGTTCGCTCGTCGTACAGCTTACAGGCAACACTTGCTCATTCACACGGGAAAACGACCGTACATTTGTGATATATGCGGCAAGACGTTCACGCAGAAGCCCGGCTTGATCTGCCATCGGAAATCGCACCCCGGCGTGCACCCTCCGCTGCCCGTCGTTCACATCGAGCACATTCTCAGTGACTTTATGAAAAAGGAATGATCTTGGTCTCGGGATACAGTAATGCCTTTCTAATAGTCCTCCGGCCGGAGCTTTGCAATCGCAACTTGTAAAGATTTCCTTTTTTATTTTCTGATAGTATTGTTAGCTCAGTTGGTTAAAAATGTTGTTCCACCCCTGATCAAGTTTCACTACTTGAAAAGGTATTTGACGATTTATGGATACAATCGTTGGCTAAAGTTGCATTATTTTTTTACATTTGTTCAGCTAAACGCTGAAGTAAATCAGACGTAAAACAAATACATTGTTACGATTGTTGTAATTAACGGAGGAACAAATGTTATTTATTTTAATGGTGATTCACCCAAGTGTACTTTCTATATTGCTCGTGAATTATTTGTTGTATAGAAAAATGGTTCAAATAGAAGGGGAAACGTAATGTAGTGTTTAGTTTTTTTGCTGTTATTGAAGTATGCTGATCGTTATGAATTTTTTAATGGGCAACATTTAACTCTGCAATTAAGAATGTTGGGCATTGAGTGAAAATCTACACACTAGGTGTGTAGGTTCAACAATTAATAATTATTGAGATATTCTTTGAACGTTGGAAGTGTTATCTTCAATAACAATGCAGAGTATCACAATAATTATTAGACTTTTGACTCGTACAGTTTTATAAATTTTTGCTGAACAGTGAACATTCTCTCCAACTGTAGGATTAAATTTTGTCCATTATGGAATGAAAAATTCAAGGTCGCCTTTATATCTCAATAAGAAAGCAGAATTACAAAAAGCTAATATGTATATTACGTACCGCCTACATAACTTTTGTTCGAACCTTTTTTCCATACAACAAATAGTCTACAAGGAGTTTAGATATTTTATTCCTCGAATCAACCTAGTAACTATTCATAAATTTTGAAATTTGCTTGTTTCCTTTTTACTTATTTTCTTATAGATCAATATATAAGCATCAGTACGATTCATAAGGCTAATATTATATTATATTCATTAATAAATTCATTAATATCCATAAAATGTGTGCAAAACCTTCTGTCTTAAATATTTGAAATTTTTCAGAGGTAAACATTTGTGACTAACTGGACTGTCAGCCAACATTTATAGATAATAATGTTATCGAACACAATTTATACCGTTTGTTTCCGATTAACAAATGATTAATGTGCGAATGGTTGCGTAGAATGATATTTTTACTTTCTTTAAATATTTTCTTAGTTCTAGAATTGCAAATCACTGTAGACGGTCTGAATGAAGATATCGTACGTGTAAGATAGTATTTAAATTTTCCTCGAAGGATTTTGACCATTCCATTTGATAACGTTCTCGTCAAAAACCAATTGATGATGTAATAATTTCTATTTTCGCTAGTTTTCACAGTTTATCTTCAAACATTTTTGTCTCATTTGCACATGCATCCGTTTTATACTTGTTACTCATGTTGTTCAGCGAGAATACGAGCTACTAGACAGGCATTACTCTTGCGCTTAATCACGTGTAAAGTGAACTTTTAATTGTGCTCTTCTAGACACATGAATCTTAAAATAAAATCTTTTCGAGATTCTATCTTTTAACGACGTTAGACTGGTTTAAGTAATATTTTAAACATGTTAGACTGGTTTATGTTATTTTTTTTTAACGACGTTAGACTAGTTTAAGTTATCATTTAACGATGTTAGATTGGTTTAAGCAAGCGTGAAAATATCTTGGAGGAAGTGGTCTTCCTCGATTTGATGTAAGGACGTTGTTCTTTTATTTACATTATTGTAACATCTGTGTGTTTCACTGATTACGAAAGAATATCGTGAAACGCAAAGAGGGGAAAATTTTTTAGCGATCGCTGTTCGTAAAATACCATACGTGTAATATTTTAAAATTCGCGTAACTCGCGTCGTGACTTTTTTCCTTATACATACACACTTGTACACATCTACAGATTCTGTGCGCGGACGGAAAGTAATTTCATATGATTACACTTAAACAATCCAATTCAAGTGAATATCTTGTAAAAACAAATTACATAGGGGATAGATAGCGTGACTTAAAAATTTGCTGTAATATGTATATACATATATAAACTATATTGTATACAAGGAGAGATCAGAGGTAAATATTTTGATCACAAATACTTCGGAGAATAGCATATTTTTATTGAGATATTCTTTAATTGACGATCCTTACTTTTAGTTGTCGACAATAGTTCTTCAAAATGAAAACGATTTGTGATGCCAACGGATACGTGCTAATTTGTACAATACAATTAACTTGAAAATTCATAAGATTACATTTATTTAATCTGCTCCGGCAGAATCGTAACATTCGTCTTTACCCTTATTAAATTTTAAGAACGATCTGTGTAACAAGAATAATGATTGTCAACTATTTTTTTATACAATGTGTGTATTTAAATTAATCGAATCCTATATGTATTTGATAAAATATACGGGTAAGTACAACATACAATTAAGTTTAAAATTTGTTTCGGTTTCAAACGCGATCGATTGTATATTTAATAAACTGCATTTTTATCCTCATGTTTCAGGAAACTCTCGGTATTATATCCACCTTTGGAAAATGTGTTACTGGTAAGCTCATCTTTAACGATTAATCAATACCGCGCGCGCCCTTGAAATGCCATAAAGAGAAACGATTGCCTCCATATTGGGGTTTTGTCGCATGATTCCACACCATCGACGACGCAGTTAAAAATACATTGTACAATGCAATTTTTGCAGCGCGTCCGTCACACAAGTCCATTTAAAACAGAGAATTCCAAATCCGTAAGCCGTTGGTCCACGAACAAAATTTTGCAGTCGTCGATGCGTCCGTTGTGACTTATTTTCCTGCAATATGAATCATTCGATCGGTACTCGATTACAAACAAAACACGAGACCCAAACAATCACTTCAACTATTTCCTCTAATCAACTACTAATTATTACAATAGCAATGCTAATATATTTTGTACGAAACTCGTCGTAACTGTTTACTTCAAATGTAAGTAATTACCAACACCAAGTCCTCGGAACCCTAATAAACATAAGCTTGTTTCTTGTTTTAGGCTAGCGCGAAGAACATTCGCGAAGAAGACACGCAAAGAAGCCGCTGTCAAGACCAACGAATTCAAAGTCGACGAAAACGAAGAATCTGCACAGCTCAGCTGCGACATTTGCGACAAACAATTCAAAAAGAGATACATCCTAAGACGACACAAGTTGATACACGAAGCCCGTGAGAAAAAGCTGTTGTCCAGAGAAGACCCGCCGGCCATGGAGCTAGTCTGCCAGGAGCAGGAAGCTCTGTCTTGTCTGACTTGCGACTTCCGGTGTAACAAGAGGTCCACGATGATCGGCCATCTGGCTGAGAATCACGACGGCTCGGCGAAGAGCAAGTTCACCAGCAAACGCAAGTTCTCCTGCATTATCTGTGGCCTGATCTGCTCGCGCAAGGAAACGTTGAGATCTCACTTTGTGCGCAAGCATACACAGCAATACGAGTTCCCCTGTAAACAGTGCGGCAAAGAGTTCAAGATCAAAGGCGACCTGACGACCCACACTCGGTTGAATCATCAAGAGCCGCCGGTGATATGCGACGTATGCGGAAAGACCTGTCGCAACAGTCACAGTCTGTACACACACCAGAAGCATGCCCATTTCAAAGCGAAGTTCGAGTGCCCGGTTTGCCACAGACGTCTGGTCACCAAAGAGAATCTGGACCAGCACGTGCTCACTCAGCACGAGAAGAAAGAGAAGTGCGTGTGCGAGGAGTGCGGCAAGACTTTCTTCGAGAAACACGATTTCAGGAAACACATGCGAATACACACCGGCGACAAGCCGTACAGGTGCACGGTTTGCGCCAGAGCTTTCACCACGCACAGCAGCCTGAGTCAGCATCTGCTTCTGCATACCGGAGAGAGGGTTTATGTCTGTGATGTTTGCGGCAAGTCCTTCGCCCAGAAAGCTGGCCTCATTTGCCATAGGAAGATCCATTCTGGAACACTGCCTCCTCTGCCAGTGATGCATATCGATCACATCTTGAGGGAGTTTATGAGCAAATGAATTCATGTCGCATTGCTTCGCAACAGTCTGACTTGTTATTGCCTTCGAAGTCAACGGGTGTGATTCAGGATGTATGAAATATTGTGTGCCTTAAGAGTCGAAGGACAGTTGTCGAAGAAATCCTATTATTGGTTTCTGCAGTGTTCAGAGCGAAATGAAATATTAAGCTTTCATCTTAAATAATATACAAACGTTCGCATTAGCCGCAATACTTTCTCCTTGATATATGTTTCATTCTTGTAGCGCATAATCTTGTTTTATAGGGAAATCATGTTGGTACTATTCCAATTTCCTTGGTATTATTATAAATATGAGTCTCGTTTCATAATGTATCTGATAATGTTACAAAAGTGTTGCACTAATATTTCAACGATTACTGGAAGGTTCAGAACCAGAGACCATGACTGTTATAAACAAAATGTAAAAAGATCATAGGATAAGAATGTTTTTGATTACAAGTAATAATTATAAGCAAACTAACAATCTCTCTGTCATTGGTGATAATCGTTATCCGTGACGGATATTTATCTCGGTTATTTATTGCAGTTTTTGATTTGGCAAACTCTTATTTCGATTACTGACAACAAAAATGTCGGTGATGGAAATTACATTTATTTGTAACTTACTTGTAATTAGAACTTGGAAAAATACTGTTTTAGCGTGAACGTGAAGAATTATTTTGCTCGAATGTAAAATAACGCGAAATGGAAAAGCTATTATAAAATCGATTTCGGTTCTTGAAACGATTTTGAAGAATTGAAAATTCCAACATCTATTTAGGATACGGTTCTTATATCGGTTTTCATAGTGGTTACAAAACTGCTGTTTTTTTCTTTTGCTGAAGCTCTAATTTCTCGTTTTGAATTTTTATACAATTTTATATTATGGTTAGTATGAAAAGAGATACGTAAGAACGTGATATAATAAAAATTAAATTTTTTATATTTTTACGTTCATATACAAATTT